CCTAAACCCTAAACCCTGATGTAGCTGAGCTAAGGAGCTTTCAGCTTTCCTCGATGAGCACTTCATCAGCGCTGCCTCACAACTGCGCTGCTTCCTGACGCCTTTGTCAGGCTCATCGTTGACAATGGAAACTACTATAGTATAATAGGGTATATACATATATATTGCCTGTTTCCGGATTCTTGTAAGACATGGAAGGAAATGGAAGGAACATACAATCAACGCGCATGGCTGCATGTAAGTTCAGCAGAAATCACAACTCGTCATGTTCCATCAGGTGCATCGCGCACACCTCAATGGGGGTCACGCTGCCTGGCTTGTGCAACGGCCCGGTGTTCTAGTGCTCATTTAAATCAACAGGTGTGATGTCAGCAGCGCCAGGCAGTTCCTGCTGCACTGTTCCTCCTCGGCAGCAGCACTGAAAGCAGCTACGCTTCTGCTCTTCGAATGCCGTGGCGTCAGAGCGGACCGATGGGGCTACATGAGTGGCAAACGGGGCATGCTAGTGCTGGTTGTCGTCCAGGGTGTGTGTACTTTTGAATGCTGGCTGGCTAGTGCAAGAGCTGCTCACTTGATCCCACTTGTCTAATTGAAGGATGCACCGCACGACAGTGCCTGCACAAGAATTCAAGTGCATGTGCCTATGGCTTGTGAGTGAAGATGACTATGCAAGCAGGATCCTGACATGCCTCTGAGAGGGAATGTCCTGGGCTTTGCATCCCTGGATGCCTCGTCCTTGATGGGGTCGTGGCCTCGGAAAGCCTTGAAGGATTTGTCATGCTATAGTAGTTTCCATTTTCTTTTCAATTATCCCTATATAACCCCAATATCATATAATCGTGTGCGTTTTCTTTTCCATTATCCTTATATAACCCTAATATAATATTTCAGTTTCCATGTTCTTTTCCATTATCCTTATATAACTCCTATATAAGCCCTATATAATCCCAGTTTCCATTTCATTTTCCGTGTTCTTTTCCATTCGATTCTCCATTATAGGGGGATAATATACCCTAAACCCTAAACCCTATGAGTCATATCATTCGTAGCATCCTTCAGGTCGGAGCCGCTCTCGCGCTCCTTTCTCTTGGATCTACGATTACTGGAGGCGTCAAAGTGACCTCACTAAACCTCATCATAGGGTTATATCGGGTTATATTTGGATAACGGAAAAGAAAATGGAAACTACAGAAATTATGGGGGTTATGTAGGGATAATGGAAAACGACGTGGAAACTACTATATCATATCTTAGTTTGCAGCTTGCAAGGCACCTGGTGCGTCTACGTCACTAGAGATCGAAGCTCGCGTGCGCGCCTGACGTGAGAATGTTGCAGAGCAAGTTGCGGTGCATGCTCTCATGGTATTCATTGACAGCAAGATCAGCCACAGAATCCTAGAAAAAATTGGCATGCTTGGCATTTGTCCTTTTGGACAGCCTTCTCCGCGTCTGCTGGCAAACCTATAAACCAGTCACCCAAGACCCAAGCAGTAGTGGCCTGGCTCAAACTCCAAACATGGGCTAACTGTCGGCAACACGACTTATTGGTGTTTACCAGTCAAGAACTTAACGCCTGTGTTGCTTCAATCAAGATTGACGCGGACTTGCGTCGCATGGCCGCTGCGCGGCATCCGCATATTTGCTAAGGAGGTAGGTCCTGGAGCGGACAGGTTGCATAATATGAATCCTGAAGACAAAAAGACGCATCAGGACCACAACACATCATATCATATCATGTCACGCAAACTCGGCACAGGAGATTATCAAGCCATGCGCTGTGCATATGAGCGACTATCAGAATCAGTATTAGGCTTACCAATTGGCCACCAAGGGTGGACATGGGGTCCCTTTGGTAGTTCAGTATATTCCCTAACATATTCCTTGATTCGGACCCATGCCCATATTATTCATGTCTTCCAAGCTTGATGCTGAACCCCGATTCCCTGATGCATCAAGATTGGGAAGAGCAGCTGCAATAGATGGACGGAGCGTTATCTGTGAGACTATACTGGCAGCTCGCAGTATAGAGAAAAACTGTATTCTGATTCTGGTATAATTTTCGTGAGAAGAACCATAAGAACCACAACTAACCGAAGATGCGCACGTCGTCGCACGCATCTAGGGATATCATTGAAAGTCTCCAAGCAGAAGCTCAGAAAGGACCTGATCGGGTGCTTTGTGCACATGATGCCGAGGAGGAAACGCCACAAACAAAAAAATCGAGCGGGCTCTTAAACAGCATGAATGCAAGACTGGGCTCTGGAAGGATAGGTTGGTTTGCGGGACTTTGGCAGTGGGGCTGTTGCCCCTACAAGATGATCAGAGCGTTATGGGAAATCGAGCTTTGAACTGAAACGTGGTCAACAGGCACATTTCCCCTAAAAAGATGATGAACTTGGGAGACAGCGCGGGACGAGAGCAAAGAAGAAACCAGAAAGAGTTATCACTACGTCCGCCAAGATCTTGCTTTGTGAGATATCAAGAGAGCATGCTCCGTGCACTCATAGACTAGGAGCACGTGACGTTGAAACATGAAAAACTTCTCATCCTTCCCCACTCCACGAGGGAGCCACAGTCCAACAGCCACAGCCTGCGCTAGAGCTGCGTTCTCGTGAGCATATTATGGCTTGAGCCACCAACATGGCTTGTCATGTTATTGACTCCTAAATACCTGCCTGTTTTTCCTGCGCTAGGAAACAGCAGTGCCTCAAATGCAATCTTCAGGCAAGCGCTTTCATCATGTCAAAGTGTATCGAAATGTTAGGTTTCATAGGCTTCAACTGTTGGAGCAGAAAGAAAACAGCAAAAACAAGTATGACATCTGCTGCAGTCGTCACCGCGGACCTTAGCCTGCGTAGCAATAGTAACAGTAATAGTAAGAGTAATAGTAAGAGTAATAGTAAGAGTAAGAGTAAGTGTAATAGTAGTAGTAATAATAGCAGTAACAATAGTAATAGTTTTAGTGGTTTGCTCAAGCTTTTGCTCGAAGGTATGGCCGCGCGGAAGCGGAGGTTCTGGTGTGCCTGGAAAGCTTGTGACTTAAAAGCTGCGGAGAGCTTTTACGATTAGCATTGGTCTCAGTATCATTACGTACTATTCTTACTATTACTATTATTTCTTTTGCTAGTATTACTATTACTATTATTGTTAGTATGATTATCATTACTTTTGTTACTACTACTGCGATGGCATCCGCAGCTCGGCTGAGGGCAAGCGCCGCAGCGGTGCTCCCAGCCACCGGCACAGCTGCCACCGCATGGGGCCTAGCCAGCCAGTAGCCACGTTGAAAACCTAAACCCTAAACCATAGTGGAAAAGAAGCTGGAAATTGCTGTAGTAGATTAAACCATAGTGGAAAAGAAAATGGAAGCTGTTATAGTATATTGGTGTTATATTGGGATAATGGAAAAGAAAATGGAAACTACCATAGTATATAAACCTAAACCCTAAACCCTAGTCAACGAGGGCGAGCTCTGATCCGGGGCCTTTCTGTTTTCAGTTACCAAAGCACTCCCAGGCGCATGCTGGGCACAAAAGAGTTGACGGGATTTCACCAAAACAAACCCTAAACCTGAGAAATCTAGCAACATGGAAGCTGTTATAGTATATTGGGATTATATTGGGATATTGGAAAAGAAAATGGAAACTACTATAGTATATTGGGGTAATATTTGGACGAGAAATCCAGCAACATGGGCTTCCCCAGCACGGGCCACCCCAGAGCCAGTCCAGAAAGGGAAAGATGGGAAACTGATGTTAGGGTGGTATGTATTCCAAAAACCGGATGTGTTTGGGGGAAGCTAAGAGCCCTCTGGGGTAAAGCATGACCAGTGCAACCAGCAGCCTGAACATGGGGAGATCTGAGGGTTGCATGTTATGCATAACCTGCTGCATCAGGGCTGCAGTGCAAAGGAATGAGAAACATGAAGGAGTACCCCAATATAGACCTAAAAATGCTATAATCCTTATATGGGGACCCCCCAAAATGGTACCCCTATCTTTAGGAAACCCTAAACCCTGAACCCTATATATCCCTCTAGAACCATAACCCTTTATAACCCCTCTTTTAAGGTACGCACCTAATTTTGGAAACCCCTAATTTTAGGAAACTCCGAGATGCTCAGGAGTCGCAGGACTTCAGGCCGGCGCATGCAGAGTGAGTAGAAGTTGCCTGACGCCATGGTTCTACCTACAGGGAATAACTCCATATACCCCTATATGATCCCTATCTTATCCCTAAAAACACCATAGAACTCATGTAGTGGAAAGGAAAATGGAAACTACTGCAGTATATGTGGGATTTTATTGGGATAATGGAGAAGAAAATGGAACCTGTTATAGTACATTGGGGTTATATTGGGACTCTATCTCCCCATATCCCGCTATATAACCCTATATACGTATATATATATATGATCGAGAGA